GTTGTGTGACAGTGAATCCTGGAGATCCATGTATCCTTGAGACGCAAGAGCCGCTTCAAGATTTAATTCGGGGAGTTCTGAAAATTTTCTCATCAAAACAGCACCTTTGGGAGCAAAAGGTTGGAAGGCACTTGTTGCCTATGAAAAGTCCACAAAAAGTTGGTCTTGGGTTGGTCCTGTTGCGCACAGCTCAAATTATCATGAAGCTATTGAGGAGGTGACATCACCTGAAGCCTGGGGTCTTCCCCACAAAATGCTTGTCAAGTTGGTTGATTCATTTGCAAGTTGGCTAAAAAATGGTCAGGAAACTCTCCAACAAATAGGGAGCCTTCCTGCACCACCGCTTGAATTGATGCAAGTCAATTTAGATGAGAAAGAAAGGTTTAGAGATCTAAGAGCTCAAAAGAGCCTTAACACCATTAGCCCAAGTTCTGAAGAAGTGAGAGCTTATTTCCAAAGGGAGGAGCTTCTTAGGTATTCTATTCCTGACAGAGCTTTCTCTTACACAGCTTCTGATGGCAAAAAATCAATCGTTGCTCCCTTGCGAAGGTGTGGAGGTAAGCCAACTTCAAAGGCTCGAGATCACTTTATGCTGAAACGTGACCGTCCACCACATGTTACGATTCTTTGTATTGTGAGAGATGCGGCTGCCAGATTGCCTGGAAGTATTGGCACCCGTGCAGATGTTTGTACTTTGATAAGAGACTCTCAATACATTGTTGAAGATGTCTCTGATGCACAAGTTAATCAGGTTGTTAGTGGGGCCTTAGACCGTTTGCATTATGAACGTGATCCTTGTGTACAATTCGATGGAGAGAGGAAATTGTGGGTTTATTTACATAGAGAAAGAGAAGAAGAAGATTTCGAGGATGATGGTACTTCATCTACCAAGAAATGGAAGAGGCAGAAAAAAGATACAGTAGAGCAAACTGACCAAGGAGCTGTAACCGTGGCTTTTCATTCTACCGGTGATCAGTCGGGCTTAGAATGGGGCTCTGATCTTAATGCCGAACCTCCATGCACTGATGGTGGTAAAAAGATGGAGACAGATTTTCATGATGGACAAAATATGGAGTATAATGCTGATACTGCTCATGGGTCTGAGCTAGCTAACACTCAACATGGTCATCCTGAAAGCAAATTGCTACGTCAAGAAAATTCCACTAACGAAGAATTTGATGACAATGCTTTTGGGGGAGAGAGGCCGGTTGGACTCCCGAGTGCAAGCTTATCATGATCAACATTTCAGGTAGTTTCCCGAAGCTGTATGAAATATTTAAGGTGCATAGATTTTGTTTTTGGCTGGCTGCTGAAATTATAAAGCTCGATCATTTTCACTAGGGCTGTAAATGAGACGAGACAGATCGCGAGCTACTCGAGATCGACTTGATGAAGGCTCGATAAATACTCGGATCTAATAGACTCGACTCGAGCTTGAGCTCGACTCGAGTTCTTAACGAGCTACTTGATATTCGAGTGGAAAAGCTTGTGAGCAGCTCGAAAATATAATATATTAAGATTTTATTTTTTTTAAATAAATCATTAATAATATTATTATTTATGTACTGATTTTTTTAATAAAAAAACAGTAAGATTTTTATGTATTTAAGGTTCAGGTTCTAGTTTGAGTTTGAGGTTTCAATCGAGTTAAGTTTAAGATATTTTTTTCTCAAGTCGAGCCTTTTCGAGCTGCTCACGAGCTTCAGTTCAGGATTTCGAGTTTGAGTCGAGCTTGAAAATTTTAAGCACGCGAGTTTTCGAGTCGAGTCGAGCTTATTTCAGAGTTTTCGAGTCGAGTCGAGTTCAGCAATACTTGTGCTCGACTCGGTTCGTTTACATCCCTAATTTTCACCACTGTGATTTGTTATATTTATTATGAAGATTTGTGATTATGAGTTTTGTTGACACTTGATTTTCACCTATCAGAGAGCCTGCAGTTCACCCTGTTACTAGGATGATGAAGGATTCTATTGTACTTTATGCTTTTATAATTGCAACTTCACATAGAAGATATCGTTTGCATATTTTGTGTCGTGTGCAAGTGGCCAACCTGTTAGTTTCTGACATTTTTGCAGGTTGAAGTCCACAGAGGGTAGAAGGTTAAGTTATGGATCCCATTCAAGGTTGGAAGGTTACATGTATAGTGATTTCTAGCCAAAAAGTGTAGCTTAGAAAGTTGAATTCTGAGATGTGCTTAAAATACAGGAGGATATTTGCATTTCACAAGTTTTTTTTTTTGATTTCTTAAATATGTTCACTGAGCTGATAAAACATGCAAAATTTGGCTTTCAATGATTTTTACATGCTCATTCTTCGTAATTCCCAAACGATTCCTCCATGGAAACACATATTTTATTAGGCGGGCCTCATAAATTAGAAAAGTGAAAGAAAGAAGATAGTAATTTTGCCAAAGTAATATATTTGATACAATGAAAAATGGTTATATCCATGTGCCACTCATTGTAGTGGCGAGACTGTTGATCCCATATATGATAATTTACTAAATTAATATATTTGTTACAATGAAAAATGGTTATATCCATGTGCCACTCATTGTAGTGGCGAGACTGTTGATCCCATTTCACATTCCTTACCTACAGCCATATTTCAAGTATGTTTATATAATAAACTCACCGAAACCCCACCTTCTTTCTCATGTTCCTCTCACAATCACAATAAATGAAGCCTATGGGAGTATAGACATTCATTGTTTTGCATACCCTATAGCTAAAATGAACATTAAACATTAATCATTGATTGACAAAATCATAATGATGATGTTCATTGATCGACAAAATCATAATTACTGTAATATATAAAACAAGGCTAGATACCCTATTATATAGTAATTAACAAATTTTGTAGCTATATGCTTGGCACATGGGTTTGTCTTGTACAAGTCCATTACTTTTCAAGTGGGTGTGGGGTATTCCTCTCTTCAAGTCCATTCTCTTCAAGTAGGGCAACCTTTATAGAGGGATTTTTTAAAACGAATATTATTAAAATTGTCGGGAAAGAAATATAGTCAAATTACGAAATTTATAATTTTAATTTGATCACTTGTACGAGTGATTATATATTAAAAACTCTGCATGTATAGGGTTTATATCATTAAATTTTAGTTTTTATATTAGATTTGTTAGTGAACTTTAAAATGATATAACTCTAGTATTGAATTTTAATTTTACAATCATACTCTTAAATTTAAGTTTATATCGTTAATATGAATATGATGACATGGTTAAAATGGTATCGTTTTCTTATGACTATATAATCCTTTAAATTTATATATCAAATTTGTTATTAAATTTTAAAATGTTTTAATTTTAGGTATTGAATTTTCAAGTGATGTTGGCGATCAATTGACATCCATTATTAAAATTTATTTGTAATAAGGTTGGTACCAAAACATTTGCATTTCACTTCTCTTTCTTCTCATTGGATGAGTATTTTATAAAAATCACTCAAAATCGATGAAAATTCATCTAAAAGTTCGATGTGTTAATATTTTGGTCTCCTCTAATAGTCATCCAATCAGACTAGTTTTGAAGTATATTGTTCATCTTCTCGAAATAATGTTTATTACTATTCAAATTTTGGAGCAAACACCTCAAACCCCTAAAATTAAAAAAAGCTCCTAACCTAAAAAAATATAAATTTTTGTTTAATTTCATAAATTCTAAAGAAACTTTAAGAAAACTTAAACCGATGGAATGTTTCCTCCTTTTAAATTTAGCAGGTACTTACGTTTCTGTCTATATGCATAGATTTTTATGCAGAGATTTATTTGCAAGGATTAATTCAATTACAGACGCGCATATGAAGACTGCATATGAAGTCTATTTAACTATGTATTTATTTATTTATTAATATATGCATTATATTTTATCTTTATTTTTAATTTTCTAACTGCCGGAGGTCTTCCACGGAAGCGGCTCTCAACCTACGTTGGGGGCAACCTACTACCCTACCTCCCCTTACCTCATTGCATATGGAAATAAGATTTTGTTATTGTTGTTGTAAACCAATGGAATGTTAGAAGCAATAAGACGAATTCATTAATGTCTAAAATAATAATAAACTACGTAGAAAACCAAAGTTCAATAAAATTCCATAATAAATTTAACACAATAACAAAATTAAATAGCATCTAGAGTAATTTACTATAAATTGTAATGATTTCTTATTATGTAGGGTAATAGATAGGTAAGGATCGTAAAAGCCTTAAAATAACAGTCCAAAATGAAGAAATAAAAAATTGAAAAAATATTATTATCGTTTATTAATACGTTTGAAAGTAAAAGTGATCTATAACAACATGAATATGATAGATCTCGGTTGTAAAAGATTTTATTATTCTATAAGGTTTTAGATTTGAGCATTAAGAATACTAAAATTACGAACGTTCAATATCAAAGAGGTAAGAGTTATATTTAAGCATATACTGTTTTATACTTACCTCAAATTAATCTAAAAAAAAATCTATAATCCGAGACAATACAACCATTTCACAATGGCAACACAAAATAAGTACTCCTAACAGCTTAAATTTATGTTAAGCTTAATTTGGTTATTATTATAAAGTAATACAAGATAATATTTATTTAAATTTTTTTATTTTTTAATATTAAATACTGATATCTTTTATATATATAATATTTAAAATGTAATTTAAAAAATAATAATATCTCGATTATTGAAATAGTTTGATTTGCGAGGATGAATTTAAATTTTGAATTTCATAAAACTAAAAAAAGGACACAGAGTATAGATTATTTATACTAAACTGAGTCAACGTCGAAATCTTATAAAACTGACATCATCCTCCATAATACGAAGTAAGCTCTCTTGGTTGAGGCTCCTTATAAATAACAGGTTCGAAGCCTCTGCTCTCATTCCATTTTCTCTCCTTTCTTCATCTTGATATATTTGAGAAGAAGAAGAAGAAGAAGAACCCTCAAAGTTAAATCGATTCTATATCCCTCACGCGCCCACGCGCTATGTTTGGATACCCAATATTCCCACACTCCTCCTCCGAGTTTCTCAGCGACTCCTTGACGTCGAGAAACTTCCCGTTCTTTCAGCTCACCGTGGACGAGTCCTATGACTTGGTGAGCAGCAGCAGCAGCGACAGTTACAACTCGCCTAGTTCGCTACTGAGTTACTGCACTCAAAAACAGAGTTTCACGCAAAGGAGCAACAGCAGCCATTCCCTTCAAAACAATTGGCTTCATTCTCACTTTGACTCAAGACTTAACGAGTTTATTGACTCCGATTCCGGTCGGGTGAGGAGAGCTTTCAGCAACGGTGATTCAGAGCAGGTAATTTAGTTTAATATAACCAGCTGGAAGTGCAGATTAACCCTTTAAAGCAATTTCATTCGGATTTAAGTTTATTTTGTTGAATGGGTGGGCATAGGGGCGGAAGAGCGGTGGTCGTCGATCGGAGAGTCCATTGTGGAACGAGAGTAATGCGAGTGCCATAATTGAAGGAATGAGCAGAACTCACCGCTACAATCCTGAGGAAAAGAAACAACGGATTGAAAGATACCGATCTAAAAGAAACCTCAGGAACTTCAACAAGAAGATCAAGGTCTTTACTCTTAATCTTAATTCTAGATTTATAGTAATTATGTTTCATTACATTTAATAATAACAATAATAAAATATGGTCGATCAATGCACAGCTTAATTAATAAGTTTATGCATACATGCATGCATTTTCACGTATCGCTATTTGTAAGATTAATAGAAACACGTACATTATCTTTTCAAAGACATGATTAAGTGATACCTTTTTTTACCCTTCTTTTTGGTAAATGATCTAGTGATACTTTGAATTATTGGATATACACTGCTTGAACTGACTCAGAGTGATTTGGGAACTCCATTAATTTCTATCAACCCATTTGGTGATGAATATCCATACTTTTATCAGTATACATGTAGAAAAACATTGGCAGATAGCAGGCCACGAATCCGAGGACGGTTTGCAAGAAATGAAGAAATTGGAAAAACTGTTCCTCGAGTTGAATGGAGGCAACACGTTGGTGGGGATGAAGAAGATGAGAACTGGATCGATTTTCTTGATTCACTCTCTGCAAATCTGAATATTCCGTAGCTAAAATGGATCATCAGTCGGCACTGTTGGATATATTACTGGGGAAGATTTTAGAGTTTTGTTTGTTTTCCTTGTAGTTTTTTTTAATGCAATGTTAAGTCTCTTTTAGCTTCTAGTATTTGTTTGTAAATATGAATGATCACATTGTTTATAAATTGGCAATCAAATATGTTTATTTAAGATATATGTTATACTCATTCAAATCCGAATAACATAACGAAAACGACAAATACACCCTAAAAGAATAATGTCAGAGTATTTCAGGTGCATGAAAAAGAGAGTTTGCCGATCCCAAAACAATTGAAGCCTACTTACATGTTCCTAGTGGGGAAAACTATTTCCTTTTGTCTGTAAGATTAATCCTACTTTGAGATAAAACCTTCCTAATAATCATTTAACTGAAAAGAAAAAAAAAATCTACAGGAAAACCCCAATGTGAAAAGTAAAACATAAAAAAGAAACACACTACTGACTTCATTCTTGAAACCTACCAAAATTTGTGGGGGTCCTTGTCAGACATTTTTCTAGAGCGTTTCTTTAGCTTTTCCAAACGTTGCCAATATTTTGATGTAATCAGACAGCAGGGAAAAAGTAAAATAAGTTAATCATTTTCAGAGTTCGTGTTGGTTGATAATGATTAGCTTTGATGTTGTATGAGAATCTCAACTTAGATCTGTCTTTAGTTAAAGGCCATTACTCTTTTTCAATACAACAGAGATGGGAAGGTCGGCGATGTTTATTTTCTGTCGGACCCAGGAAGCGGCTGTGGGTTGCCCACTAAGTCCATGAATAAGACCTTTGCATTAGGAAAATACGTTGAAAAATATTAAGTTATGAACAATGAAAAAACCGTAGTAGTATAAAACTCTTGGGCCTTCCTTTTTATTTCCCCTTTAGATTCATCATTTTCTCCAAACTTTCTTCTTTGGATACTCGTAAATGGAAATAACCTTACTAAAGAATGCTGAAAAGGGGCACATCGAAATTTTTGGGGATTGCAAAACGGGGGAAAAGTGATGTGCCTTGATGTTTATTTACTTATTGAAGTTACTGAATCCTGACATACAACATTTTCTTCAAATTTAAGTTCTTTGTAACTTTAGTTGTTCCATATAGCAATTTTTACTTTTGTTTTGGTTCAAATACCATCGCTTTACAATGTCCTTGAAAAGTAAAAACTGGGTCCAGGACGGTACGTTGTATAATGCCAGGAAAACGAGCCTAATACAGTGAAATCCCATGCGCTTGGGAAGAAGCTGGCCAGCTCAATGATGATGGCAGGAATTGGTTGTGTCTTAAGCAGTGATGATTAGCCGTTTTTTGGACATAATTTAACTGCCACTTTCACTAACTAATGTTAAGTGCGACATTATAAACAAGTTAAAATAATCATAGTAGTTTAATAATGGACATGAGTAGCATTACTTAGGAGCTATATTGTGTTCTATTCAATAATTCAAAGGCAATGGCCATAAACTATACCTGATTTCTTTTTCTTCATGTGAAATTCATGTTCATACTTTATCAAAATGAAAAGTTTCCAGCTCTTTGGATTACAACAATTTCTAAGAACAAAATTTTAAGAAAGAGTCGAACCATGCAACCACGAAATCAACGGTCTGCCATCTTCACCCTGCGCTCTGGTTTTTGAGCTGCTTTCCTCTTGAATGATACATGATATAAGCTGAGCCGTATAGGAAACAAGGGAGTTCGGTAAGGATTCCTATGTCTTCTTCTTGACTCTCCTGTATTTCATAGGCACCTTCATGTCAGATAAGGAGAAGCAAAGCATGCATATTGGGGAAAAATCACACAAACGCACAGAAATCTAAAGCAATCTCATTGATACATTGATACCAATACCTGATATTCGCTGACCTAAAGTAAGATCTTTAGTTTTGCTATCATCTTCCCCATGCCCTTTCATTTCCAATGCCACCTCTCGGACCTCATTATTTATGGTAGAAGAGATGACTTTAGCTTTCATCTTTGGATTGTGCTTGATTCTGTACTACTGTGGTTGATTCTCTTTCGACCATATTTTGAGGAAGAGTATCATCATTTATGACTGATGCAGGATCATTCATTTTGCCATCACCTTCTGCAAGCTTTCGCTCTTCCACCAAGACTTGGTTTTCATGGTTTTCCACTGTCGTAACCGTCTTTCGGTTGGGCCCCGAATCGGGCTTCACTTTAAATAATTAGATTGGAAGTCGCCACCGACCACTTTAAAGCGAATTTAGGTGGGCCTGACACCATCTTACCTGATCTACGTTTTTACCAGAAATGTGTCGGGTTCGGGAGTCGGTTACGGTCAAGGAAGGATTAGCACCCTTGAACCGCCCTTTCGGTACCAATTAATTTGCCGGTTGTCTTAAATTAAGAAAATTATAATTTAAAATTAAAAGGTAAAAATACGATCACAATTATTTACCTTAGATAGTTTTAAAGGTGTAGCCTTAAGAAAGTCAAAAAACCATGTTAGATAAAAAGGTAAGAAATAAATAAATAAATAAAATTAAAATGAAGAAAAAATAAATTAAATAAAAGATAAGATAAAGAAACAAAGATAAAATAGTAAGTAAAATAAATATAAAAAAATAAAAAGAAAGAAAAAATATATAAATAAAACAAATAAATAAAATAATAATAAAAAAGTAAAAATAATATATATATATAATAAATAAAAAAAAAACAATAGTAAATATATATATAAATTAATAAAACTGATAATAAAAAAAATAATATATATATATATATAATCTAAAAAATAAAAAATATACTAAAATAAAAAAGAAAATGCATAAAATGTAAAAAAATATTACATGAAAAAAAGAAAAGAAAAATAACAAAACATTAAATAAAATAAGTAATAAGGGAAATGCATATAAATAAAGTTAAATAAATAAAATAATAATAATTAAAACGTAAATGTAAGAGACCGAATCAAAAGTAAAAAAGATGTTACCTTTTATTTCCTTTTCGAATCGTTTACAATAGCTTTGCCTTTATATTTTCCGTGCTTTTCTCTGTATTTTGTATGTAAATCGTGTGTTACAAATGAGGAGGATTACATGTATTTATAGTGAAAAAAACTAACTATTTTTAGAATCATATTAACAATAGAATTCTAATGCAACTAGACTCCTTGCTCGGTTGTTGCACGTTTGTTGGTGTGGTTGTTGCTTTAAAAGATATGGTGGTGGAAGAGTCCTCCTAGGAGAGTATCTCTTGCTAGTTCTATCTTTTAAGAAAATTGGTGTCTACAACTGCCCCTCTTTGTCCTTTTTCGTGGAACAAAAAATAGGACAAAGATAAAAAGACACAAATTTTCGTTCAGTGGAGTTGAAGAATAATTCCATGTCGAATTGAATTGCGGATGGCTATTCCGTCGCGAAATCGAGTCCATCTTGAAATGATTTGAATCAGAATGTGACTTCTCGTTGTAGTCCACTTTGGTTTTCTTCTCGGTTTAAAGTCCTTGGCTGAAAATTCGACTGGAAAGTAATCTTTTGACTCCACCATGTGGTTGATATGCCCTCGAGCTGAATGAAACCGAATTCAAAAAGTCTTCGTTGACAGATAGCTTTTCTCGACTTAAGTTATGCTGACGGGAAAAAGGCTTATTGCTACTAAGGCACGGCTAACCCAGATCTTTTTCTCGGCTTGAAAACATCGATTGTAGCCGGACAATAGTGTGATTGAGGTGTCATCGAGCTGAATGGAATCGAACTCGACAATTTTGTTGACAGATAGCCCTTCTTGCCTTGAGTTATGCTGTAAATGATGCGCCTTAGAGCTGAGCATAGTCGAACTCGAAGGTCTTTTGGTGATAGATAACCCTTCTAGCCTTGAGTTATGCTGTAAATGATGTGCCCTCAAAGCTGGGTGTAATCGAACTCGAGGTTTTGGTGTTTCAAGAGAAACATTTTCAAAGGTTTTTTGTGTGTGTTTTCAAGAGAAATAATTTTGAGAGTTTTTTTTTTGTGTTTCAAGAGAAACTGTCTCAAGAGGGACAAAATTTGTTTCAAAAGAAACTGTCTCAAGAGAGCCAAGATTTTGTTTTAAGGGAACTGTCTCAAAACTCGTTTTAAGGGGAACTTATTTAAATATTTTGTGTTTCAAGGGAAACTTTTTCAAGGGAGACAAAATTTTGTTTCAAGGGAAACTATCTCAAGAGAGACAAAATTCATTTCAAAGGAAATGTTTTCAATGTTTATGTTTCAAGAGAAACTGTCTCATGGGAGACAAAATTTAGTTCCAAAAGAAAATGTCTCAAGGGAGACGAAATTAGTTTCAATGAAAACATATTCAAATATTTTGTTTCAAGGGAAACTTGGAATCTGTCTCAAGAGAGACAATGGTGAGCACGATTCCCTTTGTCGTGAAGTTAAAACCGTAGATGACCCCTTTGTAGTAAAGTTGAGCCTTAGAATTGGATATCCTTCGTCGTGAAGTTGAAATCCAAGTAAGTTGTATTGTTCCGAGTCCAATATCCTCTGCCGTAAAGTTAAAATTGGCTCTGGAACTAAGAAATTGTTTGTTGACAGCCAGCCGCCCCTTCGCTGTGAAGTTGAGCTTGTGATGTCTCGAGTCCAATATCCTTCGCTGTGAAGTTGAAATTGGCTCCGAAATTGAGAAATTGTTTGTTGACAACCAACCGTCCCTTCGTTGTGAAGTTGAACTTTTGTTGTCTCGAGTCCAATATCATTCGCTGTGAAATTGAAATTGGCTCTGAAATTGGGAAATTGTTTGTTGACAAGCCGTCCCTTCGTTGTGGAGTTGAACTTGTGTTGTCTCGAGTGGCACGATATCCTCCGTCATGGAGTTGAAATCGCAGGTGGCTCTTTCGTCGTGAAGTTGAGCCTTGACTTGGATATCTTTCGTTGTGAAGTTGAAATCCAAGTATTGTATGTTGCGGGTGGACATGATTCCCTTCGTCGTGAAGTCGAAACCGTGGATGACCCATTTATTGTGAAGTTTGGCTTCGAGCTAGAAAT